GAAACTGTCAGTCACGAGCACGCGTCAGTCCAAACCAGACTTAACGTCTGGAAAGCAAACATACCAGACATCATGCACTCAGCATCGTTAATAGATTGGACAATAGACCCAGAGTCCTCCATTGAAACGACCTGGGACGCATTTCGAAATTCATACTTAAAAGTTACCACATCTCACATCCCTTGGACTATACCAAGGGGGCCGAAAAACTCACCACCATGGTCCAGTAGGGAGGTCCATATCCTTCTCCGTAAGAAAAGGAAAATGTGGGATAGATTTAGGTTACTGGAGACTGATGAGTCAAAATCTCAGTATCGAAAGGCCCGGAATACTTGTGCCTCGACTCTCCGTAAGTCTAGAAAATTTTACGAAGGAAAACTTGTTAAAGAATCCATAGAATGTCCTAAACGCCTGTGTTCCTATATAAACAAAAGAACAAGAAGAAAAGGAAATATTTCTGCTCTATGGGGAGACAGTACTGCTTCATCATTAGTGGAGGACGACTTTGGTAAGACTCAAGTGTTCTCGAACTACTTTAGCAACGTGTATACGATAGAAGCGCCCTTCCCGTCAGCGTATACAGATCCCCCATACACACACTGGATAGTGTGACCATGAAAGAACTCGATGTCTTTGGTCTACTAAATAAGCTTGACATAGGTAAATCCACGGGGCCCGATGAATTACATCCTAGGCTACTGAAGGAATTATCTAAGTTCGTTGCAAGCCCTTTAAGTACATGCTTTAACCTATCCGTTACGCAGGGTCGTTTACCGAAAGACTGGAAAAACGCCATAGTAAGTCCTGTCTTCAAAACAGGTACGAAACACAAACCCGAGAACTACAGCCCCGGTAGCCTAACTAGTGTGGTTGTTAAAATATTAGAAAAGATTATTCGGAAGGAGCTGTTTAAGTATCTCGATAAAAACCGGATCCTCTCGGAGAAGCAGCACGGCTTCAGAATAGGTTATTCTTGTCTCACTAACTTATTAGTGGCTCGTGAAAGCTGGTGCGCTATTAAGGACCAAAAGTTACATGTAGACGTAGTCTACATTGATTTCAGCAAATCTTTTGACAAGGTTCCACACAACCGGCTGTTATATAAGTTAAGAAATGTCGGAATTGGAGGCAATCTATTAATGTGGATAAAAGACTTCTTAGTTGGGCATCAACAAAGAGTTCGGGTGAACTCAAAGTTATCTAGCTGGGGAACTGTGCTTAGTGGAGTGCCCCAGGGTACAGTTTTGGGGCCAGTGCTATTCCTCTTGTATGTAAATGACCTTCCTTGTCTCCTATCATCTTCGGTCTAGCTATATGCTGACGATATCAAGATATGGAAAACGATACGATGTAAGAGTGATAGCTTAGAACTTCAAAATGACCTGAAGAAGTTATCTGAATGGTCTCAAACATGGCAGTTGCCGATAAATACTTCCAAGTGTGTTGTGATGCATATCGATCATCAAGGTACAGATACATACACGATGAACAACACTGAGCTACCTGTCGTCCAGACATATAATGACTTAGGAGTTATCGTTAGCTAAGACTTAAAGACTACTGCACACTGCCGTGCAATAGCCGCCAAAGGTTTTAGAACGTTATGGTCACTACGTAGGGCTTTTAGTCATGTCGACGCCAAGATGTTTTTGACTTTGTATACAATGTTCGTACGTTCTAAACTTGAGTACTGCATACAAGCGGCCAGCCTCTGATGAAAAAAAGACAGTGAGCCTCTGGAAAAGGTTCAGAGAACGGCAACTAAGCTGATTCCTGGAATAGAGAAACTTCCGTATGAATCTCGACTGGCCAAGCTGAACCTTTTCCCGTTGCCATATCGCAGAACTAGAGGCGACTTGATTACAGTTTTCAAATTGCTTAGTGCCAAATTTGCCCCTGATATGCCTTCATTTTTCTTGTCTTCCAAAACAGAGAATTTACGAGGACACTCCAAAAAAGTTCATAAGCCGAGAACAAATTACTTGTCAGCTGACTATCGACTTTCCCATCGAATCATCAACGAGTGGAATTCACTACCTCAGCACGTTGTTGAGGCTCCATCCGTCGACTCTTTCAAAAGAAAGTTGGATCAACTGAGAGACCACCATTGCCAGGATTAACATAGGCCATCGAGCCTCCTGTCCTTCCCAACCTGAAACTACTATGATTTACCAATTTATTTTTCTCTTACTATCGTTAATATACCTATGTTTCTGCCTGGGGGTATTGGTGATCCACTGCTACTAGACACTGAAGCAATTTAAGCTAGAGCTCCTATTCAATTCAGAACCATTTGAAGGTCGTGCTCGCTGACTACATTTAAGTTTTGCGTTGTACCGCATCGAAGGTCTTATCGTTACGAGTGTTTTAGTTTCAGACCTGTGTTGCTCCTAATTATTGTTGGTTGATTCCGTTACTGAACGTAAGCAAAACTATGTGTTTAATTATTTTTCTTACTACCCTCTTTTCCAGAACTCCCACAACTTTTATACACCCCTCCAGGACACCAATTATCTTTAGGCCAGAAATAAACCCAACAAGTGGTAAATATTACATATAATGGTAAGCAGCTTCGACTGACTACGGTTTCTTAGTTGTTTTTTTCATTTTTTAAAACTTTGGTTGGGAAGGATGTGTTAATTGAACTGAAGAATGACCTATGGTGAGTGTTGACATATTTGTTTCATATATTACAGTATATGTGGTACGCTGCACTCAGTCGATCAATATCACAATTTCAAACTCACTGATATTAGCGTTACTGATCCTGAAAAACACCCTCATATGGTAACGTTATAAGCTTTATGATCACTTAATTATAGCTGTCTGTTAAAAACTGTTTCATAAGAGGGTCTATTGTAAGATATGTCCAACTCCCAGCTGATGAATGCGATACGATTGAATTACAAAATGCATCCAGGAAAGAAGCAACTGTCGGGAAACAACCCCAGAACTAGCCTCCATCACAATAAATCATTTATATTTTGTTAAAGTTGGATTATATGTTTATACTACAAACGCAATACCTGTTTTATTAGTATTGTACGGTCTCCATTCACGGTTCAAAACGAAAAGTCTGCGCTTATCCCGTCTTGTCATAGGAATTTCTGTAAAAAACTCGAAGTGTTTTCCTGTCCTAAGATGTTTAGTAGCGGATACTAAGTGCGGGTATCATTATCGTTAGTCACCCTTGGATTCCAGGTTTGTATAACAAATTTCGTGTATTTTAGAAAACGACTAACTTAAACGCTCAATTTCACGGCTTGATTATATTTCAGAGATCATAGTATTTTAGCTCTTGTAGCATCGATGTATAGTAACCCATTAAGTAGACAAAATTTCATGTATTCAGCTTAGTTACTTTCCGTACGAGGACATGTGTTAATTATCCGTGCCCTTATATCTGTTTTCGTCTCCACACCGTATATGATAAACAAGTGTTTTATTTCCACCCATTGGGATATTATATCATGCCTTACGAGACGCTATCCATTAACGTTATAATCAGGCCATCAGCTTTTAGTCAATGATCAGCCGAGTACTTTTCACTGTTCATTCACACAATGCTACAGATAGAATACTATAAGACAACCCCTGGAAAGTTTCGAAACCCTACGGTATTATGACCTGACACCAGTTGACTGCATACATTTATATAGTTTCACTACATTTTAACTTGCGAAGTAAAAGCTTTGTTCGGTAGACTTGACCGCTTCTCACATGTTTTACGTACACCGTTTGTAAATGTTTGGAAGCATATATCAGCGTTTCATATCATCTGAACAACTTAGTTCTGTATTGTTACTGGTTCATTTTAGTAGTAGTTCTTAAAAGTTGTAACCGTTAAATACTGGCTTATTCTATAAGAAGTTAGTATATCCCATCCATAAATGAGGTTCCAAATAGTGAAAAAGACAGTCAGATCAGAATTATACATTTTTCGAGTAGCTTATTCCTGCTTTGTTACTTATTCTCATATTATGATGATCACCTACTAAATATGTGTAGTTATCCAACCATATAATGTTCAATCTCATCAATTTTCTCATAAACTAACGACATATTGTTGTCGACTCTCAAGCCTTAAGTTTATATTACCGAAAACTAGTGCTTTAACTGAGCACACATGTGTTTATCCGTAATATTCTTATTCGTAGTAATGAGGAAATAATGTATGGTGTTTATGCCATGTAAATTTGGTGCTCAAAGTTATATGCAACAAAGGCATGTCAGTGTATATGTGTGTGGAGTTATATCTATACTTATACGCTTTGAACGTTGTTAGGCGTTACCTAATAAGATGAATAATATTGACTGATGTAGGGGTAAATTAGAAAAATATTAGCAGTAAAGAGATCAAGATAAAGCACTAATCTACCCGGTTGCTGATTGTTGGTCATTCACTACTGATACTGGTTTATGCAAACATGGTTAGTGAGACACTATTATCTTGTGTTTTAGGCCTTCTTTCTACACTTAAGTTTTGTTCATAGTGTGTCTTACTAATTTTGTTCGGATTGAGCATAGAGAGATCAGAGTAGCATTAGTATTTTTCCAACTTCAGATTCGCTCGGGAAAACAATCTTTACTAACTCATGACCACATTTCAAGTATATCGAGATGAGCAAAGGTATATTTTATTGTCTTTGATAGCCAACTGATGGTAGCGCAAAACAAGATGGTGATCACTTTGCTTAATGATATATTCACAGTTGTTGCAGTTTGCTTTATAGATTAAGTTGAGCTGTTTTGTTTGTTTGTTGAGTCCATTAGTTTGTTAGGTATAGTTTAAAGAAACTACTTTGATAAGTAAACTACACCTATTTACCAAGGCTTCAATAAAAACGACTAGATGACTTGTTGTCCAACTTTTTCGAATTTTACCTGATAAGGGATTGTCGGTGAATATAGCAAGCCACCAGATTGCTTATCATAACCATCACCAAAATTCTATCTGTTATCTTTGTTACAGTTATATCGTACACATAAGAATCAAAACTTTAGTGGTAACACTGGTTTTTTCATTATTTCGATGGAATCGTCAACAAAAATTTCAAAAAAATATTGAGAGTGAACTGTTTGTACATTAAAACCAGAGAAGAGAACAATTCTTTCCTGGTTTTCTTTTATACATTTTATTAATCTTGAGTAGTGATTCATTTCCACTGTTTCGCAATTTGTGAATGATCGTATGTAACTAATTTCCACTTTGCATCTAACCCATTGTCAATTAATATAGGACAAAATAATACTTAGATAAGCGATATGGGTATTTCACTTGTTCAACAATCTGTAATTAAATAAATTAGTAATTTAAAAGAAAATCCGTTGTCATGAAAGCAAAAATGGGATTGCAAATTATTCTCTCTTATTGTCAACATTATCACTAAAATATGAACAATCATTAGTAAGGTCAAACACAAGTCTTCAGTGTCCAATAAGTGGATTGCTACAACTTTACTATCTGGTAAGTAATGTCTCTATTATTTGCGTACTTGAGGAAATTACTCTTGGGCAGCATATCATTCATCCTTATCATCGGGTATTTGGGAAATCGCATGATGAAATAAGGCCGACTAAAAAAAAATACGAGGAAAAATAAAGATGATGCAGTTGTACACAACAATTTACTTTTGAAGTCATATGATTAAGATGTAGACAACGATGAACTTCATTTTATCTGAGATAACGTTTTCAACTACGTATTTGTAACCGTTAGAAGACTTCAGGAAGTAAAGTGTACTACCTTGTACACAGTTGAATGACACATTTGATGAACTAGGAACAACAAATTGTGTTCTAAACACAGTTCACTATGAAATACTATGCTGTTCTGTAGGCTGTCTCAAAAAACCGGATAAATATGAGATGACTTTCGGTTACTTGGTCGAGTGTTATTATTGGAAGAAAGTTAGGGGCGGCCAAAGCAAAACGTGGCATCAGAGCATGAAGTCACTAGCTTCTATTTTGAGCAATATTGGTAGATGCAGACTACTTGGTTGGGGTCCGCGTGACCATCGTAACCAATGGTTGGAGACTCTTGGCGACATGGCTCAAAATCGATCACAATGGCGTCGGTGTATACACTCGGTCTTCCCTTAAACTAAGAGAGTAAATTCGCTTCATATCTTTATTTCTACGAATTAATTCTTTCATCCTGTACTATATCCATAGTGCAATCTTTCTTTTATACATCACCACCTCTGAATTAACTAATTTTATGAATCCGGTGTCCATCTTGTAGTGTTAATGAGGTATGGCAACCTGGACCGATGCATATATGTGCCGGGTCCTACTTTCTAGCTGACTGACTATTATTATAAAATTAAAACACAAAGTTCAGCGGAGTGATCTCTTCTCAACGAATGTATTATCAAGCCGTACAATCGTATATATATATGAAAAAAGTACTAATTCCGTGAGGAAATGTGAACACAATTAACCAAGATGACGTAATAGGAAGATTATAATACTAGATTACGTAATACGGATGATAACAATAGATTTAGTGAATATAATAAGATGAATAAAATGTCTTTGTTATAATAATTAAAGGTCATAGAGGTGTAGAAATAAATAAGGTGATATGATGAGCATTTACGAATAAAATAAAATAATGAGAATATAAGTATAGGGGGGAATGCAGCAATAATAATAATAAGATGATCAAAATAATTAAGGCCAAGGTAACGATAACTGTTGTGAACAGGAAAACAAGAAGCCCTGACAAACTATAAAAGCTATTTTTCGGGACGTTATTCCATTTTATTCAAAGCTTGTAAAACACTGACATTTAATTTTGTCCCCAATCTATTCTACAGAACATAAGCTTTCGTCCGATGTATGATTCATTGTCATACCTTTTTTTTCCGAAGCTATTGTAATTTAAACATAATATTTTGCACCCTATTTTCTACTCTAATTCCCAGCTTTGGACATAATTGTAATTTTCCTAATTATCGTATGTTGTGGTCGGGTTATTCACTTATTTATTCATGTACCCTTTTACACTGAACTGAACTGAAATCAGGATATCAGGAATGGATCGAGTAGTGTTCCAGTTGTCTTGTCTTCTCTCATTTGCGTGCTTGTCAGCCAATTAGGTGATAGAATAGTTTTCTTCTCTCTACTCCATTTCGAACTCACGCGTACTAGCCTCAAGGTTAGGTCGGTCAGCCTATCACGCTAAGGTCTTAATCTGGATTAGATAAGTATCCTCAGCACCAAAAGTGGGTAGACAGACCAAGGGACATAACAATAACGATAAGACGTACTTCTTTTGCACTCATAGTTCTGGCTTAAGCTCCTGAATGGTAAGAGCTTCGGCTATTTTTAAGAGTTGGATGCGAAGAAATCTGGGTAGATTTGAACGAATCATATAAACAACCTTAAAATCAGATTGTGGATCTGTAGAATGGTTACAGTCGATTAGGTGTTCAAGTACAGAACTCCTAACTGCTTTCCTTTCACCCTTATAGAACCAAGCTGGGATATGTTCCCGTATCCGAGTTGAAAGCGAGCGCTGGCTACGGCCAATGTACCTTGCTCCACAAAAGCAGGTGGACTGGTAGATGCACATAGAGGCGACCAGACGCGGAAGCTTATCTTTTATGGATACAGAAAGTAAGTTCCTACTAGTGAAGGTTATTCGCAGTTTAGCCGCATTAAATGTTCTTCTAATCGTTGTTGTTAGACGATTTTTGATTACGTCTGATGCTCGATCACCTTTAAATTCCAGACTTATATAAAGGTTTTTCTTCGGGACAGAACAACTAGGTTTCTTGTCGTAACTACTTCTATTCATATTCTTTTCTATGAAATGTTCTGGGTAACCATTTTCATCAAGGTTTTCTCGAGGAATGCGAGTTCTTCGTTAATGCATTCTGTACTGCATATCCGATGTATTCGATAACATAAGAATGGATGAGGTTTCTCTTTCTACTTGACGAAACCCAGCTATAGAAGTTGATTAGCTGGCCATTCCATGTTTGTTTTCTAAAGACGGATCTTTTGAAAGAACCATTACTCCGTCTCATCAGACGTATATCGAGAAAAGGAATTGATTGGTATCGCTCCCTCTCTAACGTGAAGTCTATGGAAGGGTGGCATGAGTTAAAGGTGTGTAAAATATCATCTAAATCAATATTATCGTTACAAACGACAAACGTGTCGTCCATGTATCTTACGTATAGGTGAAATTGATTGATCGTTGAACTGAGTTGGTCGTTTTCTAGTTTTGCCATGAAACAGTCTGCTAAAATTGGACCCAATAGAGACTCCATTGCGATCCCACCCCTTTGTCTATATATTTCATTGTTGAAGCTGAAAGCACATAGACCTGGTTCAACGTTACGACCTATTTTGGATATGTCGAGTTCACCATACCAACGAATTGCCAAATGGTTAACTTAAAAATTGGAACCAATTAGAAGGCAAGTATCTAAACATTCTATTCATGATACTTTCCGATTTACTGATCGTATTAAGGACGTTAATACTTCTGAAAAACACATGTTCTCGCTTGACGTTAACTCTTTGTTCACCAGTATACCTTTAACCGAAACAATATGTTATATATGTGAGTATATTGATTCTAACAACATAGATCTAGGTTTGCCGACTGAACACTTGAAAGAACTATTGTTACACTGTACTCTTAATGTCCAGTTCAGTTTCAACAATGAAATATATAGACAAAGGGGTGGGATCGCAATGGAGTCTCTATTGGGTCCAATTTTAGCAGACTGTTTCATGGCAAAACTAGAAAACGACCAACTCAGTTCAACGATCAATCAATTTCACCTATACGTAAGATACATGGACGACACGTTTGTCGTTTGTAACGATAATATTGATTTAGATGATATTTTACACACCTTTAACTCATGCCACCCTTCCATAGACTTCACGTTAGAGAGGGAGCGATACCAATCAATTCCTTTTCTCGATATACGTCTGATGAGACGGAGTAATGGTTCTTTCAAAAGATCCGTCTTTAGAAAACAAACATGGAATGGCCAGCTAATCAACTTCTATAGCTGGGTTTCGTCAAGTAGAAAGAGAAACCTCATCCATTCTTATGTTATCGAATACATCGGATATGCAGTACAGAATGCATTAACGAAGAACTCGCATTCCTCGAGAAAACCTTGATGAAAATGGTTACCCAGAACATTTCATAGAAAAGAATATGAATAGAAGTAGTTACGACAAGAAACCTAGTTGTTCTGTCCCGAAGAAAAACCTTTATATAAGTCTGGAATTTAAAGGTGATCGAGCATCAGACGTAATCAAAAATCGTCTAACAACAACGATTAGAAGAACATTTAATGCGGCTAAACTGCGAATAACCTTCACTAGTAGGAACTTACTTTCTGTATCCATAAAAGATAAGCTTCCGCGTCTGGTCGCCTCTATGTGCATCTACCAGTCCACCTGCTTTTGTGGAGCAAGGTACATTGGCCGTAGCCAGCGCTCGCTTTCAACTCGGATACGGGAACATATCCCAGCTTGGTTCTATAAGGGTGAAAGGAAAGCAGTTAGGAGTTCTGTACTTGAACACCTAATCGACTGTAACCATTCTACAGATCCACAATCTGATTTTAAGGTTGTTTATATGATTCGTTCAAATCTACCCAGATTTCTTCGCATCCAACTCTTAAAAATAGCCGAAGCTCTTACCATTCAGGAGCTTAAGCCAGAACTATGAGTGCAAAAGAAGTACGTCTTATCGTTATTGTTATGTCCCTTGGTCTGTCTACCCACTTTTGGTGCTGAGGATACTTATCTAATCCAGATTAAGACCTTAGCGTGATAGGCTGACCGACCTAACCTTGAGGCTAGTACGCGTGAGTTCGAAATGGAGTAGAGAGAAGAAAACTATTCTATCACCTAATTGGCTGACAAGCACGCAAATGAGAGAAGACAAGACAACTGGAACACTACTCGATCCATTCCTGATATCCTGATTTCAGTTCAGTTCAGTGTAAAAGGGTACATGAATAAATAAGTGAATAACCCGACCACAACATACGATAATTAGGAAAATTACAATTATGTCCAAAGCTGGGAATTAGAGTAGAAAATAGGGTGCAAAATATTATGTTTAAATTACAATAGCTTCGGAAAAAAAAGGTATGACAATGAATCATACATCGGACGAAAGCTTATGTTCTGTAGAATAGATTGGGGACAAAATTAAATGTCAGTGTTTTACAAGCTTTGAATAAAATGGAATAACGTCCCGAAAAATAGCTTTTATAGTTTGTCAGGGCTTCTTGTTTTCCTGTTCACAACAGTTATCGTTACCTTGGCCTTAATTATTTTGATCATCTTATTATTATTATTGCTGCATTCCCCCCTATACTTATATTCTCATTATTTTATTTTATTCGTAAATGCTCATCATATCACCTTATTTATTTCTACACCTCTATGACCTTTAATTATTATAACAAAGACATTTTATTCATCTTATTATATTCACTAAATCTATTGTTATCATCCGTATTACGTAATCTAGTATTATAATCTTCCTATTACGTCATCTTGGTTAATTGTGTTCACATTTCCTCACGGAATTAGTACTTTTTTCATATATATATACGATTGTACGGCTTGAGAAGAGATCACTCCGCTGAACTTTGTGTTTTAATTTTAATGTTTAAATGAGAATGATCTGTTATTATAAAGACGAGATTTCTTGTTCAGTGAGAGGATTTATCATGATTGTCAATCATATGTCATCGGAAACAAACTGATATTTTCATGGTAGACTTGCGCCAAATGAAGAACTATCAGAACTCAAGAGGGACTGAAAATATAAAATGTATCGGTCTGAGACCCCCTTACTGACTCGAATATTCAATCACAAACTGCAAGTCCCAGACACTATATAACTACAAACAAGCCACAATATTCGAGATGCTGGCTCTAGATAACATAATGTGAGCACGATCAAACAAAATTTGCGGTGTCAACACTTCGTCTATTTTGACACTAAAGCTTTCCGTAAACCAACATATTCCGGGAGATGTTTATGCAACGAGTCTCCAATTGTTCTTCCCAAGAAGGTTGGTACGGCTAAATATCTGCATAGTCGGTATAATTATCTTATTACAGATTCACAAAGTAAAGAAATTGAGTTAAAGTTGATTTTGTCTACATTTAAGATAATCATTAATCCTAATGTTTTTGAAGTGTTGAAAACGAAAGAATAACAAAATCGTAGTGCTTACCGTACAGCAAAGAAGGATCAGAATAAATCTAAGATTCTTGATAAACATGATGTAAAAGTTTTTTTCCATCCTCATAATATCGGCATGTCAGCACTGTTGACATTTAAGTATAGGCTGTCAAGAGAATGACTACAAGACAGCATGAAGTTAGGCCTCATGAGTGTAATTTAGTACACGTGGGGGAAACACACAAGCAGCTGAATGTGAGGTTAAAGAGATAGGTTATGCGGATCACTAGTGTCGGTGATTTATTTGGATGGTCAGGGTCTATTCAAATTGGACAGGAATAGTATGGACTTCTAGCCTACGTCGAAATTACCTTGCGGTAAATGCCCAATGTGGTTTATACCATAGTGATAAACAGGTAGATTGGTTTCCTGGTTAAAATAAATGTCAGAGCAAATTTACAATTGACTGACCACTGGGTAGTGACTAATGTCATGTATTCAAGTCCTTTTTAATGTGCATATAATTCCACTGATTAAGTTTCGATGTGATCATTAGTCTTGGCAACTCGATATCGCGTGCACTATTTTGAAGTGTAAGGTGGTGGTTGGAGGTAGTCGATTGGAAGCTTTGTACCTAGACTTCCTGCTATTTGGCGCTCGTCAGCAAGGTGTACCTGCAATCTGGATGGAACTAGTGTTGCTTGACAGATTTGGTCCCATGTTAACTGGCTCCGCAGCCAGAAGCGTTGACAGTGAGCTATCTGGGCCGCGACTGACCTCCAGTAGAACCGAAATGTATTTACAATTGACTGGTTGGTCATTAATGTAATGTATTTCAGGTTTTTAGAATCAGTAATCCTAACTTGTAACAGCATGTTTTGGTGTAGAGTCTAGAACATTACAATTTAGGGGGGACTTCACATTTGGATCATTACTCTGCAGTTTAATTGTGAGCGTTTACTTATTACGTAAGATTCTCGATAGATTGCGACACCCATTGTCATCAGTAAGTATGCACCTCAACTTTCTACTTCTTCAGTCAAGAATTTCCAGAAGATTTCTCGAAATTAATACTGCTTAGCATGCAGTAAATTTAAAGACTGATAGTTGTAAGTACGTCAAAACATGGCATCAATCTCCGGAGTCTTTTGCTTGTGCTCCGAGCTTGTAGGAGTCGCCAACGCCAAGAAATATAGATGGCAAGCAATTCCTATGACGTAGATGCATTTATTTTTTCATCTTAAGTGTTCAGTTGACCAATAAATCCCATAAAATTCATTAGTGTTTTATTCCTTTCTTCTAAGTACTTTTAAAATTAATTTTTCGAACTTTCCATTACTATTGGTGTTACTATTCTCCCCTTCTTTGTTTTTCCTCCACATTCTGACACAGGATTTTGCGAGCTTTCACATCGTTCATGTCTAATTGTCTTTTAATAGTCAGTGAATTACCATGCGGTTAGTTGATTTGCAAATAATTGATCAAATGTTAAGTCACTCTTTACTGTGGCCTTATTGTTAAGTCGCCGTAGGAATTAAGTCAAATTGAAAAGTTTTAACGATCGGATTTCGATTTGGTAACTATTTGGTATCATATGCGTTCCAAATGTTTGAAGGCTACTTATTTGGCCTTGGCTGTGGGGAATGATTCATAGATTTTTTAATTGATATCAACCTGTGATAAGAGCACTAATTTCCTAAAAGCATCCACTAGAATAACTATTCCTTTACATTCAGATTGAGTCTATTAGTGAATATAATCTCCTAATAAGTCACAAGATTTTTCATCATAGTTGTTTATGGGTACAAAATATTTAACTGTGAAGTTGACAGGATAATTGCGTCTTTCCAAACGTTATCAACATAATTCTATTATCCCTATTCTTCAGCAAGACCGGGAATCATGTGAAAACAAACTTTGGTGAAAAATCACAATTAATGAATATAACATAAATAAATAGTTCACAAGTACTGACAACTACGAGCTTGATTTATAATTGCCGAAATACAGGTTCTTACAGTAAGTGAAAAAGATGATTTAAAATTTACGTTACAATCACAAACATTAATCGAATCGACTACTATATTAGCTAAACTAATCTAATGTGATTTTTAAAAAAAGTCAAGTATTACTGATTAAAGAAATCGTGAAGAAATATGGCTTAATGAGTAGTGTGCAGCATTTTGATATCAAAGTAGTCAAACAACCCCCGGCTTTCGTTTCTCTTACTCTGAACATCACTTTATTTTTGTTTTAAAGGATATGAATTATTTTTGATTGGTGAAATGAACAAATTAGTCATTTTGCATATTCTGGATGCTAACTTAATGAACAAATGCTTATTAATCCATTCCATCCTCCATAGCTAACCTTATTTTCGGAGACTGTGACGCGTACTGATATCTTTTGGTGTTTCTACCTATAACCTATAAATTCACTGAATTTTTTAAACTGACTTACGTTTGAATGCTTGATTAACTTTGATAATCTGAAAGTTATGCATATTTTAACTGTGGGTAACATGATTATTGGTAAGAGACACGTTATTACATTTAGAAAGTCCTTACTTTTTTACAATCATAATTTAATGGAGTCATATAAAAATTGTATGGATCATTCGACTTACGTCATCACGTTATTGGTAGACATTTGTCATTTACTCCGATATTTTCCTATTTCCGTCTCAAATGCATTGGTTTGTTCTTCAAGTTGGTTGGCTAGTTCTTCTGCTTCCTTTCTCCATTGTGACGTTAACTAAGTAGTGATTATAATAAATGTATTTGACTATGCTTTCAAATATTATTAAACTATAAACAATATAAACGGAATGTACATTCATTGATAAGAACATGAAGCCGAAAATGCCAAAACCACAAACAATTATAGTAGAAAAGAAAATTTTATACATGAACATCGACTTCAAAGGTGACAGAACTACATATATCTTAAAGAGGAGAATTTCGGATTCGTTAAAAAGGACATTCTTCGCAGCAACATTGAGAATATTATTCTCCAGCCGATCACTGTTCACCAATAATGTGAAAGATAAATTATCGCATTTGACCAACTCAATGTGCATTTACCAATTTACCTGCTCTTGTGGAGCTAGGTATATAGGTTGTTCGATGCTTACTTTATCCAAAAGAATTCAAGAACATTGTCCGTCGTGGCTAAAAAGAGGAGGCAACGGCTCAATAAGAAGTTCTATAATCGAACACCTTGTGAACACAGGTCACTCAATCAAGACAGACTCTGCGTTTAAAGTCATCTACAAGGTAAGTAGAAGCCTTCCTAAGACAATTAGACTGCACCTTCTTTGCATTGCCGAGGCAATAGCCATACATTTTGAAAAGCCAGAATTATGTGTACACAAGAGACTGGTACAACCTCTTCTTTTACCATGGTCTTAATGTATTAAAAATTTTTTTCTCTTTCTTCATACTTCATACCTGCTTCACCTTCCATCTTCCCTTCAAATCTTCTACCCCCAACCGGTTTGTTTTTATTTCCATGATCATTCCGACTACATTTCATCTCGGTTTCAACATTTTATTTTATCATGGCGAGCCATCCTTACCTGATGAATACTTTAGCCATTAACTATCAAACGATTATTAAACTCCACCATCTCAAACTTTCCTTGTTTTGAAAATTTTTTCTAATACCTTTGTTTATTTAACTTCACTCTCACCATGTATAAGAGAAGTTTATTATCAGTATTATTATCATCCTGTAAAAATAAGTATATATATTTGCGATTGTACAGCTTTAAAAATAAATTCGCCGAAAAGGGAACTCTTCGCTGAACTAATCTTTCTGTCTTATAAACAACATGCCGAAAATTAACAATACTTAGCGGAAATCACTGCAAATAGTTGTAGTAGTTAGTATCTTACGTTTCTGACCAGTAACAGTAAGACTTTTCCTTTAAACAAGAAGTATATTTAGCGATACCCCTTACAATAAAACAACAAGGTTAGAAATCGTCAATGCTAAAACTACCAGTACTCGAGATCACTTGATATTGGCATTTTATAAAACATGTCTTGCCGTGTATTTTTTAATTAACCTTTTGGATATAAATGTGCAAAATAACTATCATAGCGTCCACTTTGTGGAAAAAAGGTTACGATTGAAAAAATCGCTTATCTTCTAGGTTTTTCTAACAGTAGAAAGTTATCAGTTAGTTCAGGAAATTGAAGATTTGTCCGGAAAGTAATGATATTAAGCAAATTACTTGGTAATTCCCTTAGTACGGCATACTTTAGATACATCTTATAATATATTCTAGTGAATAAATACTCTTACTGCTTTTTCCTACAAAATATATGCAAAGTTTAAATCCTAAATATAATGAGATGAATAAACACTTATCGTTCTAGTCGAACACCAAAATAGTGTTTTTGTTATAACGTGAAAAATAAATGCTGCGGATTAAGGGATAGCGAATTATTGATCGGACCAAAGACGCGCAAACACGTAGAACGACCTAGGGTTCTGATTGGTCTCGCTTCCCTGTCTAGCCCAGTCAATTGAGTCCAGAACGCAAGTCACAGCCTCGGATATATGAATCATTATATTTCAAACATGCTTTGTTTATATACCATTCAAGCAGTCCACAACGTACCATAAAATAGAAGATAACATTGTACAATAATGGCCAACAGGAAAATAACACGTCAAATAAATATTGACCAATAAGATGATACCATTTCATGTCCAAGGATAGCATTAGGCTTAACAGGATAATTTTTGGGATATTTTCCTGAATATCCCAACACCTCCCTTTTTTTGGAGATCCGGAGTTGATGTCCGAATTTTAAATTTTTCTCGCGTCTATCCTCCCCCTCGAAATAATGTTGGGTCCTCATATACACAAGGAACAGTTAGTGTGACTCTATTTGAAGCATATTTCCCGCATTGAGTAGAGAGTCCACTAGGGCTGACTAGATGGTGATGATCAGCGACAGTAGATCTGAGGTCATTAGGGTTTAAATCTTTAGTAAGTAGTGGATCATTATGATAATCGGCGTCCAACAAAACTGTACCAGGATCTTGGTTATTATTTGATGCGTGAAACACATTTTCTGGCAAAACAATGAGATCTTCTCGTGAGCTGGATATGTTACTGTCTGCACATGCTGTTTCGGGGTTGATGGAGTTTGACTCCATTACCGGGCATGTTTCTGGAATAGAAAGTACTGGACCACTGGGCGCATGATGGATGACTGTTTCGTTTGAAGTACAGTTCATCGAGGATTCATGAAGGCTGCTGTCATTTTCCAGCTCACTGTGTATTTCAGATATCAATACATCCACTTCCGTCGCGTCTTCATAGCATGAGTGATTTAGCAGCTGCGTGCGGAATTTGACTAATAAGTCCAAATGTCGTTCAAAGAGCAGCTGTAATCGATCGGAGGGGAGAGTCATTTTTTCGAATCAGCACCTGTGATGAAAATTACTGTATGACTAATGACCAATGTGGTTCAAGGACACTGATGACAATCTGGATACTGATTGGTTGAATAATTAGACTGGATTTCGTCCAATTACAGAATGACTTTGGATTGTATCTTTTCTTCACCCCGTCGCCAATTGTTATAACTGTGAAGATAAATAAATGCTGCTTAAGGGATAGCGAATTATTGATCGGACCAAAGACGCGCAAACACGTAGAACGACCTAGGGTTCTGATTGGTCTCGCTTCCCTGTCTAGCCCAGTCAATTGAGTCCAGAACGCAAGTCACAGCCTCGGATATATGAATCATTATATTTCAAACATGCTTTGTTTATATACCATTCAAGCAGTCCACAACGTACCATAAAATAGAAGATAACATTGTACAATAATGGCCAACAGGAAAATAACACGTCAAATAAATATTGACCAATAAGATGATACCATTTCATGTCCAAGGATAGCATTAGGCTTAACAGGATAATTTTTGGGATATTTTCCTGAATATCCCAACAGTTTTAATCATTATTTAGTGGCTAAAATACATAAATATTAGTAAATAATAATGCTTAACATTTTTACAATAAGTAAGATATCCTCTCTTTATAATTCAGTGAACGTCGTTTGAAATGTAAGAAGTCATAAAAATTTAGTCTTTCAAATGAAGCAAGCCTTTAAAAGCACATTCTGGTGATAAATATAACATTCTATGATGTTGTTGAACTTATTTTACGGAGTTACTGATTTATCTCTGCTTATGGAAATGAGTCAGGGTAAATTTTACTTCTGGGTATTTCAATATTTAGAAAGTTATAGTCATGAAGCGACATTGTATAGAGAAACAATGGAAACATGGAAGCACCAGAGAGCTATGTTGTCCATAATTGTGATTTTTTAATAGTGCGCTTTCATGGTATCATACGAGATTGGATCCAGTACATCCCAGTCGTGTGGTGAGCACGGTATTATGTAATCACTAAGTCGAAAAACAATGGTTCACATTTACATTATAGCTGTTTCAGTTTATTTTCCGTTATACGAACGGATGAAAGTTTAATTTGTGCTAAAATATTAAAATAATTATTATTTACTTACTATTTGTTGCTTATCTAACAGATTACGCCAATTTTCATCGGTTAATTTATTTACTTTCTCAAGTGTTTCGATCTTTAATTTATACTCGACTTCTTGCATTTTCATTGACTGTTTTATTGAGGTGATTTGAACTTGTGCACTTTTTTGTACAGCTTCTAACTGTTGTTTAAGACTATTCAATTGGAGTTGAGAATTGAACAAAACTTCATTTTGTTTATTATAATGGTTTTCATTCTTTTTCCGTCGTAATTCATTATATTCAAAGCGTTCTATAAGCAATTTGTTCTAAAACAACAAAGTAATTCTATATGATTCATGATTTTAATGAATTCGGTTCGAACCAAAAAACCAACCTTGGTATTGATACCTACAAACTAAGTGAATATTTCTATGGAAAATTTAGGAATGTATTGATAACTATTACTTACTAGTTATTGTAATTCTTTTTACTTGAAAATGAATGAATAACTGTCGAAGTATATAATTTTCACGGAAATACATATAACAATGAACATATAAATGCCATACAGATTAGTACTAATAAAAGTTGAAGATCAGCTAGGCGTTCCATCGAGAAGGGTTTATGCAGCATTTAATAGCGACCCTGAGATAGTAGAGAAGTTAGACGACTAAACCATCCAGCTTAGAGAACGAAACACCAAAATAACGACTTTTGAAGTTAAACACAATACTAATAAACAACTCGATGAGCAGATTGAATTTCAAACAATCTGAATTGGTTTAATTTGTTTGTTTTGGGTTATAACAGGTGTTAACAGTATCAAAGAGACTCAAACAAAACTAAGTGCTATCCATTTACATAAGCCTTACACTCAGATGTATTTCAATAGTTTACAGGAACTTACGTCCATACATAAATAGATAGGTTCATAGAAATCATGTGACAGATATAACAAAGATATTACACATAGATCATACACGTAATTGTCTCGGTAGCTGAAATCAATCACTGTCAACATTTCTCTTGTTTTAAAAAGAAATAATTTATAGTTAATATACTCTGACATTTGTTCAAGTTTTTATCTTTATTAAGTTTAACTTGTTAGGAATGATATTTACCTTTTCATTTAATTGTTCAATTTCGATTTGTTTAGATGCAACTAACTTTTCTTTGTTGTTACATTCAGTTTCCAATCTTAACTTTAATTCGTTGCATAAACTCTCAGCGTGTATGGCACGTTTTCTAAAAGTATCCAACAGACAATCCGGTTTCGAATCGCCTGAAGTAGTATTTACATTTAGAACAGATTTACCTTCATTATTTACATCGTTGATATGATGACTAAGGTTGTTTGTTTTATAAAATTCTAATTGAATGGCCAATTGACAGCGTTCCTATATATTAGAAAAATTTGCTGAATGATATTAACGATGCTAATAATCAACTTAATGATTACAATGCAGTTGGTTAGTTTATACTTCTATTGTATATAGTGCAATTCAAGCTTAGACCACCTTTTATATAATAACCAATCCCACTTTTTAGGAAGCCAAACGAACTCACATTATTTCTTCATATCAAGTGAAGTAGCTATCTATATCGAGCCTATAAGTGGTGGGCTAAACGAATAGGAGTGCAATCTTAGATTAACTTGAAACTATATTTTAAAAGTTAAAAAAACTTCCTATCCGCCAGTATAGTTCTTTCGTTTGAGAAGGAAACTTTATGAAGAAGACAAAATGTAGGAAAAAGTTGACTATCGGTTAAAGAACGCCCCAAAATCAAGCTAGGCGTCATTTCAACTTCGACGAATGTTTCTACAATGCATTTGTAAGTATTATCTCATCGTTTTTATTTAAATCAATGTCAGTCAGTCAGTTAACAACGTAGAAATTTGTACGTACGTACATCAGTTCGAGTTGCCATACCACATTATCACAGAAATACAATTGTCGATTCAAATCCCATAGTGGTAGAGTTAGTAAGGGTATAAGCAGTAATCGGAGACATTAGTTTGAAGACGTCATTCAAGGAGTATAATCCAGTTAAATAAATTTGAGAAAAAACAAGGGACATGAAGAATTCAGAAGATGGGAATTTGTGAGAACACAAAGATGGGATGCACCTGTGCCATTGCAAACGATTTTAAGCCATGTCATTCAGGGTCTCTAACCATCGGTCGGCATTGACTCGCGGATCCCAACCAGGTAGTCTACACCTACCAACATGGCTCCGTCCACTTGTCAGTGATTTCATGGATTTGTGTCATGTTTTAGTCTGGCTGCCCCTAGCTTTCTTCCAACATATTCCTACACAATAAAACATCACACGTTGGGGCAGTCGGTGAATGGGCATATGTAACATGTGTCTCAACCATCTCAACTGATGAAGTTTCATTACTTCACCAAGTGATTTGCCATTCTTACCTAGTACCCGTTTCCTAACTACTGCATTACCTACTCGATGGTCCAAGGATATACGAGCAATGCTTCGAAGACACCTATGATCGAATACTAGTAACCTACGAATATCCTCTAATCTTACCGGCCATGTTTCACTGCCATAAAGTAGAGCGGAGCGAACTGCTGCGCAGTAAACCCGTCCTTTGATTGGTAGACGGATATCTCGCCAACGCCACAAATGACGCAAGTTGGCAAAAGGTGGTCGAGCCTTCTGTATCCGTGCTGAGATTTCAACACACACCAGACCACAAGGGCTAATGAGACTTTCAAGATAAGTGGAGAGGTCGACACGCTAAACTAATTCACTCCCTATCATTGAAACAATGTATTACGGACTCTGCAATATGTAATAGAGCACACGTATTATTGCACCACTTTATTCGTGCCGAAAGGAAACGGGTTTTCAGCGCTACTTCGTTTTCAATGCTTCTCTAACTGACGTAGGTTCGTAACTATATATATAATCTACACTAAATTAGTTGAATGTAATGTTACTTGCAGTTTACCTTCTCCATATGGTGCAGTTCATTTAATAAATTCTCAATATTTTCATTGGCTTTCTTTTCTATTTTATCTATTTCTTCCCTTGTACGTTGACCAGATTCTTCAGTTAGTTTATCGACAACGAGTTGGAGTTTTGAAAGTTCATTTTCTGCATTTTCTCTTCTTTGTATTGCATCATCACGCTCGTTAGTTAATGTTTGACTTAAAGATATTAATTCTGCAACCTGTGATGCAAAATAATATATATATATATATATATATATATATATATATATATATATATATATATATATATTTATTTATTTATTTTAACACATAGATATTGGAACAGGGAGGCACCAAATACATATGCGCCACACAAATCTCATTCGATATGTGTGAGGGCTGTGATATTGCCCGGGTGCCCAAACCGAAGCAGGTGGTTTCCTTAGGGGGCCACACCCGAAGCCTTTGACCTAAAGGTTTGATCCACAAGGCAGTGGAGCATCGTAAGGAGATGCAGTCCCATGGAAGCCGGTGACCAACAATTGGTTCATACGCCATTTGTTCCCGCAGGATACTGGAGCTCATGTGCACCACTGATTTGGTTTGGGATCCAGTTAAAGCGCTGGACATTCACTTTTCGTCCTCTCATTTTCGTAAACAACACCCCCGCCACGAGAAGGCAGTGAGTAGGACTTCCCTGGCAGAGGCTATATACGCGTGGCCATGTGAGAGCATTTCGAGAGGGAGAGCGGACTCTCCCCACTCTCGGCCGTACCAGGGCATTTGGGGGCTTATATATATATTTATATATAATGCTAATCAAACTCTTTGTTCATATAACTTTAATTAGTTGACTTAAAACTTCATAAAATTGGAATTCCAAAAAAAATATTGATATTTCTATCGAAAATCTTGGTCGTGAAAAAATCTGAATCACTGATATAGTTCTTTACCAACTGAAATGTCGTAACTTTTGGTAGTCGAGTCTCACTTTCAGTTTAATTATTAGTTGTTGTTTCTAATTTTTATACAAATAAAAGATAGAAAAAATGGTACTTCATCATGTTAACTGTTTTCATTTTTGAATACCAACATAGCTAAATACGTGTGGGTAAATGATTATTAACTTAGTGAAGTGCATTAAAAAGTGCCTACAGTTTGATCAACATTATTTGGATAAATACTCAATCACATTGGAAATTAAATCAAGTTAAAAGCTACCCTTTCTAGATATACTAGTTATCACAAAATTATAAACTCGAAAAATAATACACATAAGCCAAGTCTTGTATTACAATATCGATAATGCACCAACTCGCGAAACCAGTGTGTACTCATTTTATTTGGAAAAGAGGAAGCGCATTATGCTGTTCATCTTTTATAGAGAAAACGAGAGAAACGGATATCCGACGGCTGTCTTCTCATAAGAAAATAACTACTCATATGTTTACCAAAATTTGCCTATTAAGCTCAAAATGACTTACAAAGTCCCGTGTACATAGTAACAGTCGAATCACTTTATTCTGCACGAAATACATATGAAGGATTGCAATCAGATACCTGAGATTCATACAGTAACGAAATCACTGAAACATGTATTATAGAAGACTAAGATGCAATAACAGAGAAAACAAGCAAGACTTGTTCGAGTACCGTTTGCGGGATCGTGGGTGCACTCTGCTGAGGAGTCCCATAGTAAGACGAAATGACCGTTCGATGCTTCCAGGTTTACAATGGTGGTCTAGCTTATATTGACTCCTGAATTCGACTGTTAAGAGCTCGATCTATTAAATAAACTTCAATTACTACAGAAAACGAAACAGAAAATAAATTATTCTCTTTTTATCAACCAATAAACATGATATCAGCCTAATTTAGCTTGGGAAATCACTGCAGAATTTTTGTTTGTGAAAATTTATTTCTTTGGCCGTACAAAATATTCCTTCAGTGCTATAAACTGAAGTGATATAATCTATTCGTAGTTTATGGTCAACATTATCTCTAAACAATTATTTTAGTGAGCTCAATTGGGTTTGTAACGTTACTCCTGTAAAAAGAATAATACTAAACGACTTCATACATAATAACAAATAACTTATGGATTAATTATGGGACTATCTATTTAAAAGCAGACAGTCATTTAATGGGTACAAATAAAAAAGATGGATGGTAAATGTAATTTGAATTTGTCAGTTTTTGAATTGAAGAGTGGTAGGTTAAATGAAAGTAATAAAGTAGTGAGTATCAATCAAGGCAAGCTGACTTTCTATAGTATATTTTATAATTCTCTCCAATAATTTTTACCTATGATTAACTGTTATTTATTTATTGATATTACCGCTCACCTTATGTAATGCATCCTCAGTTAGTTGAGTGGATCCATTGTATTGTCTTTGAAGTATAGAATACTTGTGTTGTAATTCACCAAGTGATTTAATAGCACTTTCTTCACGTCTACAAATCTCAATCAATTCTCTCTAGAAATATAGTAAAACCATTTCCGTTCAACGCATAATGTTTCACATATGCAGTTTTATTTGTAAATATTGCAAGTATAGAATATGTGCGGGTAAATACGTTTATAAGTGATATCTACCTTCTGATTAAAACAAGTTCCAAGTAGAATGAGGTGTACGCTCTAGGTTCAACGTCTAATCACTATCTAATATGTGACTAGTCAAGCAATAAGCTTCAAATTTGTGCTTTGTTTTACTTTTCCTAGTTGTAGCCGATAAAAATTCTACCCATCGAATAATAAATCAAATTGAACAACATAAACAAGTAAAACCGATAAATGTCAGTCATCATAAGTGGGTTGATCAATTAGTTGTGGATGAGTAACTTATCGGTTTTTTATAGCTAATTTAATACTTAGTAGATAGTAAGTTTAAAAAACCAAGCTTTGAGTATCACGCATACGTTTTCAATCGTGGATGATGCATTTAGTAGTACTAGATGTAGTTTTCAGCGTGAAACTGGAAACGAGCGAGTTGAAAAATTTTCTCACATAGCTTATTTATTTGTAGTAACTTGGATCGTAGCTTCGTTTGCAGTGAATATACTGTCAGTATGCAGCCATATACACTTATTTAATGTGATAGCTCCATCTCTAACATTGTCTATTATTGTCGATATCGCATAGAAAACTAAATATATAATGATATACCGCCTGAATCCCATTCAGCATCAACATTGGGTGTTTAGATATTCATAGGGACGTTCGCGATTAGCTGTAAACAAGATTCCCTTTGTTTTATTTGATTTCAAATGTAAAGCTTTACATATGTAGTAACATGAAGGCAAATATTTTCTGACCCTTAGCCGTGAAATGGCATAAGAATGTATGAACGTAGAGTGGGAGATATTTAACGTATTAAGTGTGCTTAAAACTTGTGATGAATATATTTTGCATTGCTATCAATCATTCTGAAAGATAAGTATTCGATGACTTTGATGAATCAAATGCAGAGTTTCCATATTTTCAAATAAAGGTTATAAACAATTGGGTTTTTTATGCAAGTGTTTAGACGAGTGATAGCTTACTATATAACCACAACTAAATTAAAAGTCCGGGATAAATAGTAAAATGTAAGAATTTTTTGCAAGTTATGAATACTTTCAGTCTGATGCAATAATCCTTTAGTTTGATTTGATGATATCTCCATCAGAAGGTAATGTCAGTTAAACCGACACTGAAAAATAGGGAAGGGCTATATAAATGATTCGTTATGGACTGGGACTCCTTAGCACCGTAAAGTTACAAACATACAGGGATCAGACGCGAGGTCTTCATATCTAGCAACATGCATAATGCCAGTCCGCCAGTGAATAGAAATACAATGACGCACATTTTCCATCTTCAATCAATTTCTTAATTGAAGTGATGCCGATCAAATATCACCAGTGAATTGTCTTACTGCCAACTTAACTAACTTTACAGATTATAGCTCCAATCCTCACTGACAGAATATTTCATATTATTATGGACGTCAATCAACATCATAACTAAAGTCCAACTGTTATATATTAACAAGATTGGCGTAATTTATGAAAATGGCTGTCACTGATAGTGAGGAGGATTATTACTGTTGGATCAATTTAGCTAGTACACGTGAAGATTTATTGAAGTGAATTGACAAGAAGTTGGTATAATTAACGTTTCATAAAACTAACACGGTAAGTCTACTTAATTTTTGTATAAGGGGTTTACATCTCAGTATGCGAGGTATTTGGATTTTAAGTGCTCTACGTTGTCCCATACTTTACTTACTCTTTATAGATAAAACATTTACGTAAGTTTCCATCATACAGTTATTTTAATTGACAAAATAATGGCATTTTGTATCAACCTGACAATTATTATTCCAAAACAATTAAACTGTAAAACTAATTACTTTGAATTCATTAGCTGTCTCTCGTAACTTCCCAAAACCAATCAGTTCATTGTAATGTCCTTTCTTCAAAGTCAATTGCTTTATGTTTTGTTCGGTGAATGATGATAAGCTGTATGAACAAATTTTAATTATTAATTACGACTAATTATTAAAAACGATCAAAAAACATATGATGTTCACTTCACTAAATGATAATTAGTAAAAATAACGTTGAAAGTCAGACCCGAAAACTGAAATGCAGCCTCAAAATAATAAACCTCGATGATTCAAACTTCCGGTTTATGGAGGAATAAGATACATCAATGTTATTGGCAACTCTCGTAATTAAAAGCCAGGACTTAGAGCCCAATATTTTTCATACCGGGTTTGGTCGACTAGATTCATCATATCAATGTTTCTACTCTTTAATTAATCAGTCAGTGATGAAAACTACTTCAAAATTGAACGAACAACTACAAATCAAATGAATAAACATATATGAGTTTATAAACAATTACCCACCATTTTAATAACCCAACTAAAACGACTCTCTACAGTTGCAGCTTATGAATAACTCAGTCAAAGATAGATCTGTTGGTCTGAATGTTAAAATGTGAGATAAATGTACATGTCAGTAATATCAAATGAACAATCGTTATAGAAGTAATGTGTGGAAATGAATACGAATACATCATAGTGATTCACACTGTTTTTCAACTTTTTGAGCCATCATATACAAGTATTTCTCTTTGTGTAATTATCCATGTGTAGTTGTGAAAATTTTTGGTGTTTGTGTCCATTATCACTCACTCCACTCGCCACCTGTTTTAGCTTGTATTTATCTATCTTTCTAAATGCTGAATCATGCTTACTAAAAATGAGAAGGCTGAAAACCTTTCTCTTGATCATATCTCTTACGGTTTATCTAAATAAACGAATGTATGATATATACTTATCCGAAACACCATTCATGTTTGGACTTTTGATATGCCGTTATTCTAAACGTGTTAGGTCGACAGAATATATGCAAAGACAAGTAAGATATATATATCATCCCTGTCCAGTAATACTGGAATCAAAGGGACATACACAGAAGACATCGCAATTTTTTCATTAGGAATTGTATGTAGGGTCATCCATATCGTCGTTCGACTGCAAACTGTTAGAAACCTCGATTGGATTAGCATTATTCCAACACATTAGAGATCCCACAAGATAAGACTTAAGAAACTCTTCCTCTCTTTTAGATTCAGTCTTCACACACGGTGATGACGTTGGTCAAATGGCTTTTCTCCCACCACTTGGGAGAAGTGACCATGCGGTCATCTTATTCAAATTCATGGCTGAGATTGCCTGTCAAACAGTTGCACCGGCCCGTCCCAACATATGGAAGGCAGATATGCAGGCAATTAACTCCACAGCATCGGCTGAAAACTGGGAAATTGACTCAACGGCATCAGTACAAGAGGCATGGACTCTATTCAGGCAGTTATACAATCGGGTAACTCAACCATACATACCCTGAACTGTTCCAAAGAAAAAGAAGCACGGACGTCCCTGGATAGGGCGGGATATTCGACGTTTATTAAGACAAAAGAAGAAATGCTGGGACGTTGCCATCCGCCTTGGCACAGCAGGTACGATGGAACGCTACAGATCGATAAGAAACGAGTGTATAACGAAAATTCGGGAAGCTCAAAGAAAATATGAAATGCAGCTGGCACAATCTGCACTCAAGCAGCCCAAAAGAATATTCTCGTACATAAACTACAGAACAGGGATGGATCACTGGATTCCCAACCTAATTAAAGTAGGAAGTGAATCTGAAATGATAGGGGAAGATCAAGAAAAAGCAGAGGCTATGGCTGACTATTTTGGGGCAGTTTTCACTCAGGAACCTCCTCTAGAGAAAGAACCAGACCCAAATATAGAGTCAACAAACCAGCTGCTCACCGTAGACTTCGACCAAAACGATGTGCTTAAGGCTCTTAGCACCCTAAACATGGAAAATTCAACGGGACCAGATGAGCTACACCCCAAAATCTTGAGACATATTGCTCAATATATCGCAGCCCCACTGACTGTGATATTCAATATGTCACTTGACCAAGGTGTGTTACCTATGGACTGGAAGGACGCAATGGTCACTCCCATACATAAAACAGGTCCACGACAAGTTCCATCGAATTACAGACCCGTAAGTCTCACCAGTGTTGTAATTAAAATACTAGAAAGAATAATCAAACGGACCATAACGGCATTTATGGAAACCAATAACTTGCTGAATATGGCACAACATGGTTTTAGAAAGGGTCTATCCTGTCCAACGAACCTCCTTATAGCAAGGGAGTTCTGGATTAATGCGCTAGACAACGGAAACTCAGTGGATGTTGTCTACATAGATTTCAGTAAGGCTTTTGACAAGGTGCCAACTAATAGACTGTTATGGAGGTTGGAAAACTGGTATTTCCGGACCTCTTTTAAAATGGATTAAAGATTTCCTAGTAGGTTGTAGACAAAAAGTAAGAATAAATTCCAAGTGTTCCATCTGGAGACCAGTACTTAGTGGAATACCCCAAGGTTCCGTCCTAGGTCCTTTACTTTTTATAATGTACGTTAATGATCTTACAAGTATAGTACAGTCTCCAATGTTATTATACGCTGACGATGTAAAAATTTGGAGACAAAGACGCATGTGCTCTTCAGGCAGACTTAAATAATATGATAAACCGGTCTAAAGAGTGGCTGATGCCTATCAACGCGGCAAAGTGTGTCTACATGCACTTGGGGGATTCAAAGGTTAATAAGTACAATATAGGGGATGTGTCATTACCCGTAGTCCGGTCTTATAAGGATCTAGGGGTGACAGTGAGTAATGATCTTAAGACGACGGCCCACTGCCGGGAGGTCGCAGCCAAGGGGTTTCGAACCCTCTGAGCTTTAAAACGGACATTCACTAAGTTAGATACTACCATGTTCACCACAGTATACACATCCTTAGTGAGAACTAAGCTAGAGAACTGCGCTCAGGCTGCAAGCCCCTGTTTAAAAGGTGACTCTGACATACTAGAAAAAGTACAGAGGGCAGCTACCCGTGAAATTCCGGAACTTCGGGGTTTATCATACAAAGAGCGGCTCGAAAAACTGGACCTCTTTACTCTGTCCTACCCCAGACTAAGGAGAGATCTAATTTTGATGTACAGAATACTGAGAAATGATTTCGGACCTAACTTATTCTCTCTCTTTCTTCCCACTAGATCGGGACACCTTAGAGGACATAGCAGGCGAGTAGAAAAGCCAAGAACGAACAAAATACCCGTGGCATACAGGTTTTCACACCGCGTCATCAATACTTGGAACCTGTTGTCTGAAGCAGTGGTGTCCGCACCTTCAATTGACTCTTTCAAGAGAAGACTGGACACTCACAGAATCATACTAGAAAAGGAATAACATAGGCCGTAGGCCTTCTGTCCTTACTACACAAATCTGAATCTGTATGTATATGGACCACATAATTATTGACGGTTAGTCAATAAGCAATAAATAAATGACCTGTAACTTTTCACATTTATGTTGCCATGGGTCCGCTGCAACCCTTCGTAGTACCTAAATGCTAAGATAGCAGTAAACACTTTTTAAGACCATGAAGTTCGAGGCTTTCAACTTTGTACATTATGTACTGGGAGTTCCCTTTTATCAGCCACTACATTACAAGACTATATTCTGAAAAATCATTTTGAAGCTATTGAATTAGGTATGTGAACAAACCATCTAAAGGCTTAAAGTAAAGAAAATAATAGTTGCACAATATGTTCCAAAGCATGAATACATATGTGTAAATACATATATGTAAATATGCATATTTCGGGTACATGTAAAAATCCTCACTTTGAATATATTTGTGCTTTCAGTTCATTCAAAATTTCGATCGTAAAACTTTCACAGTGAGACTTAATTTCGCTTTTTTCTTGGTGGGCAATATCAGCTACTGTAGATGTCCGATAAAACCTCAGCTCACTTAATGCACAACTCAACTCTTTTTCAATCCTTGAACGAAGAACTGTTTCATATTTTAGTTCCTATGATGGTTAAGTGAACTAAAAAACATACTTCATTCAAAGAATCTAATTGTTGCTCAAGGTTTTTAATGATGTTGAAATTTTCATCGGTAGAAAATTGGTTGTTTACGAATAGTAACTCATTTGATCTTAACTGCATATCATTCACTTCCTGCCTCAACTTTTTTATTTCTTTCTGTATAAAGTTGAATTAAATGTCACTCAATAACCTCATTTTCTTTTAGATTCACTTCAAATCTTGACAAATGAACAGGCCTGTTTGGGACGCAGTTCCTCATGATGTGTGTTGACACAATTGAAAACGCAACATGTAACCGTAACTCAACAACAAGCACTTAAACCCCATTGAGTAGTGCTATGATGATTTCTTTTTATTTATATGTATACTGAAATACTTTGCACTAGCGATATCTGTTATTGAGATCTGCACTTTTTAGGAACTTTGTGATCAGTAGTAAAAATGAGAAGTACCCCTCTACAGTGTGATCTTACAACTTATTATTTTTCATATTAAATCTTCTTGACTTTCACGATAACTGATGTCACTTTAAGTTGTACACCTTGTTATGCCAGAACGTCAGTGTCTAATTCAGCGGAAGCTTATACGACACATTTTCTTTTATTATTGTTATTATTATTGTCGTCACTATCCTCCTCAAGCAGTCAGACCCGTGTATGACGCAACTAAATAGTCCAAATGTTTCCAGATGGATAAGCACTGTCTTTCATTTTGAAGGGCTTCTGCACCTAGCATCACTGAATCACCGATGCCTTCAGATGGAGTCCTGAATATACTAAACAGTCAAAAGAGAAGAGTTAGTCAATAATAATAGAATACTGCCATCAACTCTAAAGAATATATCTACTCAACCCCTAAAGAACTTTACGGAAGCCACTTAAATTACCTAAGCCAGAAGCGAATCCCGAAATTGCGTTACACGTAAAGATTAGAAGGTGCCTCTACCGTCCACTCTATACCTAGTAAATAAGTTTTTAAAAAAACTAATGCTTACATTAATCCCAGAATACTACTAGTTGAATAAAATAACACAATAGATAGCTAAATAGGTCTGAAAAGTATATGCAGCTATAAATCCTAATGTATTGCTTATCTCGAGTAACCCTTATCAGGTTACACTTGAGTCAGTAATACCTTCCACAAGTATAACACTTTTAATTTTAAGAGATTGGATTTTCCACCTGAGACTAGAAGAGTTCATATTTAGGATTTTGGACTACTTAACTATTTAAGTTTGTAATCCCCCATCCATAAGGCACAGTCCTACGACCAGGGATGTCGAAATAGCTCTTCTGGGTTCTGCTTTCAAGTTGTCTCCAAATAGTATTCATGGTTCTAGTGCCTCTTCCCGATTCCCGCAGACATATGCTCTTCAGTCTGCTTCATTTCCCTCCACTTTGACGACACCAAGTTGGGACTTGTCTTGTGATTTGGCCTTGTAGTGGTAAATAAATCCCCAAAATAAATAGCTCTATAAGTTTTCAACATTGGATGCTGACCATATGTTTTAGTGGACTCACCTAGCTGAAGGCGCTCGGTCATGCATCCTTACCAGATCACGTGTGGGAACGCTGTGCTCAACATCTACCACGATCGATAGCCAGATCAGATCAGAGAATTCCGATATATTGGTTATCGCCAAATACACTCTTCCGATCTCCTCGACTCTGTCTTTTGATGTCTCTTGTTGGGTACGAATTATATTAGGTGTTGCTGGTAAAAGCGTTGTCAAACACTGAATAGCTGTGCCATCTTCATTGGTGAGCCTAACGTGATCTGGTACACCTAATTGCAACTGTGAGTCTGGTCCATTTTGGGATTTTTGTATGTTATTGCCTTATTTTTTATTTTTTATACATTGTGATGTTTTTTTCCCCGTGTCTCAGAATATCTATAAATTTTTCCCTCGTATTCTCGTACTTAATATTCCCCTATGACCGATCAGGCCCCCAACGTATTTAAGATTAAGACTATGTCCCCACCCTCGTTCCAACTCATGCCCTACTGGCCCGACAATATGGAAGCCTGGTTCTGCTAAGAAGAAGCCGACTTCCACGAGCATGGCGTGATCGACACGCGTGCACAGTTCCTCGCAGTAGTCAAGGCACTACCACGGGAATTCAACAGGTACGTGACACCTAGTATGTTTACTAGTGATGTTTCTGAACCGTACGAAACGTTAAAGCGTTCGATTCTTAAACGAGAAGACCTAACCGATCGACAAAGGTTAGACCAACTCTTTAACAACGTAGACCTGCAACACAGTTCTGCGACGGACATGTTGCAAAGGATGAGAGAGGTTATGGGCCCAAGAACTTTCGACGAGTGTTTATTCAAACAACTTTTCTTGTCTAAACTCCCCCAACAGACGCAAGCGGTTCTGGTCTCGTTTCAGAACAACGCCTTAGACGAGCTGGATGCATCTGCCGATCATATCTTAGAAATTACGAAATCTTCTACTTCCGAGGTATTTTCAGTCAAAGAAAAACATCAAACGACTCAGAATGACATAGTCGAGTTATGTCATACACTTACTCGTTATCTTAGTTTTCGTAACGACCGTAAGCGATCACACACCCCACGTAGAAGCACTTCACGTAAGCGATCTGTCTCTAGACCACGAGATACGGATAACCCCGACTGGTGCTGGTATCATAACCAGTATGGAAAGTCTTCCAGAAATTGCAGAAAACCCTGCAATTTTCCTATCTCAAAACCGACTGGCTCGAAAAACAACTCGGGAAACTTCCAAGCCGGCATGCGTTAACGGCAACCGTAGCCGGCGAACACAGCCGTCCGTTATACGTCACAGATGTGACAACGAGAGTTCGCTACCTCGTCGACACTGGCGCAGAAGTTAGCGTTCTCCCAGCGAATTCTGACGACCGACTTCACGAATCGGCTTTAAACTTACAGGAGGCAAACGGAAAACCTATCGCTACGTATGGCAAAATGTACGTTTACCTTAACGTCGGTTTACGCAAACCCATTCACTGGATTTTCGTCGTTGCAGATGTTTCTATGACAATCATTGGTATGGACCTTCTACAACACCATAATCTATTCATCGATACGCGCAAACGGAGGCTAGTAGACGGAAACACTAATTTATCTGTTTGCGTAACTTCCTTCTCTGGTTGTAAATTATCCCCAGTCACAATTAAGCGTACGATAGACCCACATTATAAACCACTACTCGATAAGTATCCTGGGATACAACAAACTCAACCGAAACTACCGTGTGTAACCGGCAACGTTACACATCACATCACGACTACAGGACCACCTGTATTTTCTAAAGCACGACGACTAGCTCCCGAAAAGCTAAGGTTAGCGAAAAACGAGTTCGACCATATGATAGACGTAGGAATCATACGACCGTCAAGTAGCCGATATGCATCTCCGTTGCACATGGTCCCTGAAAAGGACAGCAACGATTGGCGTCCAACTGGTGACTATCGGCGATTGAACACGAAAACCATTCCCGATCGTTACCCCTTGCCTCACATTCACGATTTGACAGCTACCTTGAAAGGCACAACTGTTTTTTCGAAAATCGACTTGGTTAAAGCGTATAACCAAATCCACATGGCAACAGACGACATACCGAAAACAGCTATCATTACTCCCTTCGGACTCTATTAATTTTTGCGGATGCCGTTCGGTCTAAAAAATGCTGCTCAAACATTCCAAAGATTCATAGACGACGTTTTTCGAGGTCTCAACTTCGTACACGCGTATGTTGACGACTGCCTAATCGCAAGTCGGGACAGAGAAACACATCTCAAGCATCTGGATCTTGTTTTCGAACGACTACAGAAACGTGGCCGCCAAAAATCTAAGGTTAACAGACACAATAAATGTCCCTTAGGCTCAATAAATACTCCCAATGCTCGTTTCGACCATGTTCATCTGGATTTGGTAGGACCTTTAGCATCTTAAGCCTAATAGTTTGTGCATAGTCTGACCTATCCAATTCCAGCTTCCTTTCTTGATTTACTCTCCTTCAAGTCTTAGCTGGTTCATTCTATGCCAAAGTACGCTATTAATATTGATATCTGGCTACTGAGCCTGGTGTAAATATATTGGCACAATTCGCAAAATTGGAAGCAACACGAATACCAAGCTATGTTTATCTTAATCAGGGATCTGAAATGGTTATTAGAGTTTATTTGTTACTGAACAATAACTCACCCGCGGAATTTCACTCCAGTTATGCAAGGGGGGAACAATTAGTGACGTCTGAACACTGAAGTCAAATGATTTCTAGTGGGTAGCTGGTAAAATTGGTGGATTGTTTCCGAAGTTTACTGCGAGAAACTAGTACTCAGGGGAGTGTCTCAGGGCTCGATACCAGTACCACTATTGATTGTCCTTCGTTTTATTCATCACCCACGTATCATCAGGCTTCTAGTACTGCATAGCCCTATTGATGAAAATATACGGAGATAAGTCTCATTTGCCAAAGGAAAGACCTGGCTATCCTGATAAGAGACCCAAAGTCCAAGGTTGAAATAGACAACACAAGGTATGAGGATATCATAAGATGACATGGACCGAGATAAAAGAATGGGAGTGGTGAGTGATTCGCATACTTATACGCATTCTACAAAGAATGAGCAAGACAGAAACAACCAACAACAGTTGAACACAAAAAGAGAAAGTCAAAGCACATATCGAATACACAGAAGAAAACAAGCAAGTGAAGAAGAGAATTAGAGCAGACAGGCAGGAATACGTGGAATACTTAGAAACGATAGCGGGAAAAGCTGCAAGAGAAGAACATATGAGACAAAACGAAGAAACTGGCGAGGAAACATGGCAAACTAGAGAGAGCTGTCAAGGACAAAAAAGGCAAGACATTCGCTGAGATTCAAGAATAGCGGACCAGGTGGACAGTGTGATATGAAGAATTCTTGAATAGACCAACCACACTGAACCCATCAGGCGTCGAAGCAACACACAGACATTCCTATAGATGTCACTCCACCATCGATCGAAGAAGCCAGGATGGCCATCGGATAAAGTGTGGGAAATTGGCAGGATCTGACAAAATGCCAGCCAAAACACTGAAGTAAGTCATAGCAGTAGCTTCAATCATGCTCCACGTTCTACTCAGGAACTTTTTAGGGGAAGAACATATGCAAACAATCCGGTAAAAGCGATACGTCACCAAAATACCATAGGAAAGGGATCTGAGTGAGTGTATTAGTGACATTGGTGCCACAACCATCTCTGTGTCGAGCAAAGTTTCTGATAGTGTTTTGTAAATGAATGTAAGATCCTCTAGAGATATAAACTCAAGATAAACAACCTGACGTTCTTTAAAAAACCAGACAATAAAATTTATAGTTATTAGTTTTTTCGACACTGTACTTTCGTGATACACTTTCCATTCTAGTAAACAGCCTTCATTATTCTGACTTGTATTTAATCATTTGAACAT